AACATAAAATTTACCATCATAACCATCTTTAAGTGTACAGCTCAGTAGCTCTAGCAAATTAATGGAACCCAAGGAGGGGGTTGTTGGCACCTCCCATCTATAGCTGGTAGGTCAGAAGCACAGGTGAAAACCTGGGCTTGCAATTGGCTTCTGAAATGGGGTAGAGGGGGGCAGTCTTATAAGACTGAACCCTTAACCTGTGAGATCTGATGTTATCTTCAGGTAGACACTGTCAGAATTGAGTTAATTGCTTGATGGGTTGTGTGGGAATCACCTTTCTCTCCCCACTGGAATTGGGTGTAGAACACTTTACTCATCAACACTTACTATTTTTTTTCTTTCTTTCTTTATTTTTTTTTTTTTGTGAGGAGATCAGCCCTGTGCTAACATCTGCCAATCCTCCTCTTTTTTTGCTGAGGAAGACTGGCCCTGGGCTAACATCCGTGCCCATGTTCCCCACAACATGGCCTGCCAAGCAGTGCGTCAGTGCGCGCCCGGGATCCAAACCGGCGAACCCCGGGCCACTGCAGTGGAGCGCGGGCACTTAACCGCTTGCGCCACTGGGCTGGCCCTATTATTTTCTGTTTTTTTGATAGTTGCCATCTTAATGGGTGTGGAATCTTTCCCTTTAATAGTGAGTTTAACCCATTCACATTTAATATAGTTACTGATTCCTGATATTTTATATTTTTTATTTACATTGCTTCCTTTGTTCTCTAACTTTTCTATTTTTTATTTTCTATTTTTTATTGGACAGGTTGAATTTTCTTTTTTTATCCCCTCCCCCCACCCCTCCAGCCCTGTAGTAGTTTGGAAAGTTATGCATACGTTTCCTATTCTTCTATTGACTTCCCTTAATGTTTTAATCATTATTAAAAGGTCATATTTACTAACTACTTACTATATTCCAATTCCCGTGCAGATCTTTTTATATTGATTATCTCATTTAATCCTTACAACGACTCTATGAGGTTGGTTCTATTTTTTAAAATAAAATTTTAATTTTAGAGTAAGTTTGGGTTTACAGAAAAATGGCAAAGACAATACAGAGAGGTCCTGTATACTCCATATCCAGTTTCCATTATTGTTAATATGGTACATCTGTCAAAATTAATGATCCAATATCAGTACATTTTGTTAACAGAGATTCATACTTTATTCATATTTCTTTATTTTTTGTCAAATGTCCTCATCTGATCCAGGACACCACATTACATTTAGTCATCATGTCTCCTTAGGCTTCTCTTGGTTGTGACAGTTTCTCAGTCTTTCCTTGTTTTTGATGACCTTGACAGTTTTGAGGAGATGGCCCCTAATTTTAATAAAATCTTATAAATATGATTTTCTACAAGCATTTAGAATGAGTCAATATCTATAACTTTTTCCTCTGGAACAAGATAAGATCTTAAGCATCTCATGTTTTGTAGCAATAATCTGAAATTTTAGTTCCAGTTTATCATTAAACTTCTTTTTACATTTTTTTGTTTTATTTTTAAAAAATCCTTTCTTAAATCTCTTAACCTTAAGATTTAAGTACAAATTTTACTATTTTACTTTTCTCACCACTTTTATGTATTTTGAATTTCATCATCTTTCTTGGATTCCTTGATTTTTCCTGAAGGAAATTTTTTTTCAGGAGGGATGAATGGGTGATACACTCTGAGTCCTTTATATCCATGCTTTTGTTATCTGCAAGATGAGGATAATAATACCTATCCCATAGAGTTGTTGAGGATTAAGTGAGGCAATAGTTTTAAGCTTTTTTTTTTTTTTTTTAAAGATTTTATTTATTTTATTTTTTCCCCCCAAAGCCCCAGTAGATAGTTGTATGTCGTAGCTGCACATCCCTCTAGTTGCTGTATGTGGGACTCAGCCTCAGGATGAACGGAGAAGTGGTGCCTCGATGCGCACCCGGGATCCGAACCCGGGCCACCAGCATCGCAGCGCGCGCACTTAACCACCAAGCCACAGGGCCGGCCCTAGTTTTAAGCTTTTAGCAGAGTGCCTGGCATCTTATAAGTGATCAATAAGTGTTAGCTCTTGTTACTAGCGCAGTGACACAAATTATTTTGTAATTATAAAGAAAAATACACACAGACCTATGCAAGTGAGGAAAAAGAGTGGGAAGCAAGGAAGGTTATGATAAAGAAGGAGATTTGATAGAACAAGAGAACAGGTGCTGCAACCCCTGTGACCAGCTTGATAAATGTGGAAAAAGCCTGAGTGTGTTTGTCAACTGCTTCAACCTGGGTTATGCCGTCACCCTAGTCCAGAAAGCCACGTGGGTGTTCAAAGCCACATGGCGCATCTGTCTCCTCAGAGGTCACTGGAGTTTATCAGCTGTTGTGTATCCTTAGCATGAGTCAGGAGGGTTCTGGGGAAATGTCTTTCTAGTCACAAGGACTGACAATTTACATCAAATATTAATAAACACAAAATAACACTTGAGAAGCATATGTCATGTCAAATGCAGAACGTGTCTTCCAGAGGGAGGAAAAAAGCATCAGAGTATTCTTTATACAGACCAAAATTTCTTCAATTGATTCTTTGTTATTCATGAGCAAGGAGAGAGAACAAATTGTTATGCCTGACACCCGATTTCAGGACTAGAATTTTGTAGTGTGATTCATGTAGCTATATTTAATATTTGCAGAGTCATAGAGTAACTCTTGTCGGAGCCCAGGGAAGCCTTCACTCAGGGGGATCCCTTCTCTACCAGGGCTCTGCTTAGAGACCCTTGTGGGATGGTCTTGGCATGGCATATAGATTCATTGCACCCTTGGATGGTGGTCCTGTGATTCCATAAAGACTCATGATTGCAAAACACATCCAGGTCTTTCGTATTCACTTAAGAATGTGTTGCCCTTATAAAGATAAGGTGTTTACTGCTCGACCTTGTTAAAGGTCTGTGACCAGTTTGGAATTTTTAATACCAGGGCCTTCTGGTATTTTCCTGTGCTTAGAGGGTGGAATCCTGGAACCTGAGGTCCACAAAAAAAAGGGAAAAGAAAAGTCAGAGTTTAAAAATGTGTGGGTTTGTGATCATTAGGGTAGGATATTGTGTTTAAATCTTCTTCTAATGTACTTGTAAACGTTGATGGCATAATATTTAAATAACAAAAGACATGGCTTCATCAATTTGTACTTTAAAAGCTTTCACAGGAAAGAGATAAAGGATAATGTGGCCAATAAAGGAAATGCTGATAAAGTATTAAAAAGAACAGAGCACTTCTGATGGCTTCACACTCCGACTGGAAGCATGGGAAATAAGGGAACACAGAATAAAACAGCTGGGTGTACTCAAAGGAAATAAGAAAGATTTTTTTCCCCATATATTCCTCTAAACAGAAACTAAGAGGAAAAATAAAATTGGTCCAAATCATGAGAGGGGAACATTTAAGAATTCTAATATTGTAAATAGACATTCAGGCTAAGTTTTCCATGCAAAGCTAGAAGAGAAAATAAATCTTTAACTATCAACTAAGAGACTAGGAAAGCAATAAGAATATTTTCAGAAGTTTAAATTAAATTGTTAAAAACACAAATGCAAAAAACAACAAAACGATGACATTTTATCAGATGTCCTTTATGACAACAAATATCTATGCCAGGCTTTTCCAAGATCAAATGAGATACATAGTACTTTGAAACTCTAAAACATTATTCAAATGTGTGGCGATATTAGCGTTATTTGGGGAAATAAAAGAATCAGGACTCCTCTCTTCTCTCATTTCCCATTCCTTACATTTACCTTAAAATGCAAGAGTTTATTTCTACCCAATAAACCTGAAGGGCTGCCTAATGCAGAATGGAACACACACGAAATCTGACTTTTCCTCCTCTTATTGTTCAATTGTGAAAAGATTTGTTTTCCTGGTTGTCATTTAAAAATTGTTATGGAAAATTTTATACAGATATAAAGTTAGAAAGAACCATATCATGAACTCCACGTCCTCCACCCTCACCTTCAATGCTTACTAGCTTTCGGCCAATCTTATTCCATCTGTAACCCCACCCCCTCCGCCCAACTCAGATTATTTTGAAGCAAACGCCAGACAGCCTTATCATTTCAGCTAGAATTCTTAAAAGATAAAAACTTTTCAAAAAGAACAAGAACCTTAATATCATTATACCATTTTAAGAATAATTCTTTAATTTCACCAAAATCCAGTCAGTGCTCCATTTCCCTGGTTGTCCTATAATTTTTTAAACAAGTTGTTTGAATCAGGATCCAAAAAAGGCCCATTCCTTGTGATTGATTGATGTATCTCTTAAGACTTTTAAAATCTGTGGGTTCTGCCATGATATCTCTGTCTGTCTGTCTCTCTCTCTCCTCTGCCTGAAAGACTGCTGTACATCTGAGTTCCTTTCTTGTCTATTCTCTCTAGGCTCTAATGGATCTGAGGATCTAGCAAAGATTTTAGGATCTAGGAGTGAATGAAAAAACTGTTTTAAAGAGTCCCTCCAACATTCCTGAGGACATTTACTTTCCCCTACTCCTTACTAAAGCCTGTATTGATCACTGGTATAGCAAATGTGAAAGACACTCTTGTGGAAATATCTGTGTAAATTTAAATAGTAGTACTGTTGGTAAGGTTATCATTCCAGAATGTTTTAGAGGGGGTGGGAGAACTTTACACGAGGAAATACGAGCAAAACTGAACCATGAGCAATTTATGTTATTACCTTCAGGGTGTCCATAAGTTAAACCAGATAATTATTCACAGGCTCAGAAAATGCTGGGACAAGAAGCCATGGCTGTAAGCCAAGAAAGAAAAAATTGGGTATTTCCTTAATACCCATTTAAAAGAGGAAAGCAATTAGAGAGAAGATCATTTAAGTAAAGGAAGACGGGAAACACCATCAGGTAGGTAGCCAACCAGTTATTCAATGTGACAAGAGTAAAAATGATGCAAAAAATATTGTCTCTTGCCTCCTCTAAAGTTTCAGGAATTGGCTCGTTGAGTTTTTTGAGCAGTAAAGAATTGGAGGAGTGTCGCGGGAGCAGCGCCTCGGTCCCCTGCTCCCGCGACATGGCCTTCAACTTTGGGGCCCCCTCGGGCACCTCGGGCACCGCTGCAGCCACCGCGGTCCCCGCGGAGTTGCCAAAGTGTGAGGCAGGCGCCTGTGATGGCTCTGCTCCCCTTCCATGCCACTGCTTTCCACTTGGGGCTTTTTCCCCTTGCCTCTTCCTTCAAGAAACACATTCTTGGTGTATAGAGGTGGGTTTGGAGGATTTGGGACAACATCTACAACAGCAGGTTCTGCGTTCAGCTTTTCTGCTCCAGCTAACACAGGCACTACTGGACTCTTTGGTGGTACTCAGAACAAAGGCTTTGGATTTGGTACTGGTTTTGGCACAACAACTGGAACTAGTACTGGTTTAGGTACTGGTTTAGGAAGTGGACTGGGATTTGGAGGATTTAATACACAGCAGCAGCAGCAAACTACATTAGGTGGTCTCTTCAGTCAGCCTACACAAGCTCCTACCCAGTCCAACCAACTGATAAATACTGCAAGTGCTCTTTCTGCTCCAACACTACTGGGAGATGAGAGAGATGCTATTTTGGCAAAATGGAATCAACTGCAGGCCTTTTGGGGAACAGGAAAAGGATATTTCAACAATAACATTCCACCAGTGGAATTCACACAAGAAAATCCCTTTTGCCGATTTAAGGCAGTAGGTTATAGCTGTATGCCCAATAATAAAGATGAAGACGGGCTAATGGTTTTAGTTTTCAACAAAAAAGAAACAGATATTCGAAACCAGCAACAGCAATTGGTAGAATCATTGCATAAAGTTTTGGGAGGAAACCAGACCCTTACTGTAAATGTAGAGGGTATTAAAACGTTGCCAGATGATCAAAGTTGTCATTTATGTTGTTGAGCGTTCTCCAAATGGTACTTCAAGAAGAGTTCCAGCTACAACACTATATGCCCATTTCGAACAAAATAATATAAAAACACAATTGCAGCAACTTGGTGTAACCCTTTCTATGACTAGAACAGAACTTTCTCCTGCACAAATCAAACAGCTTTTACAGAATCCTCCTGCCGGTGTTGATCCTATTATTTGGGAACAAGCCAAGGTGGATAATCCTGATTCTGAAAAGTTAATTCCTGTACCAATGGTGGGTTTCAAAGAACTTCTTCGAAGACTGAAAGTTCAAGATCAGATGACTAAGCAGCATCAGACCAGATTAGATATCATATCTGAAGATATTAGTGAATTACAGAAGAATCAAACTACAACTATGGCCAAAATTGCACAATACAAGAGGAAACTCATGGACCTTTCCCATAGGACCTTACAGGTCCTAATCAAACAGGAAATTCAGAGGAAAAGTGGATATGCCATCCAAGCTGATGAAGAGCAGTTGCGAGTTCAGCTAGATATAATTCAGTGTGAACTAAATGCACCTACTCAGTTTAAGGGCCGACTAAATGAACTGATGTCCCAAATCAGGATGCAGAATCATTTTGGAGCAGTCAAATCTGAAGAAAGATATTACATAGATGCAGATCTGTTACGAGAAATCAAACAACATTTGAAACAACAACAGGAAGGCCTTAGCCACTTGATTAGCATCATAAAAGATGATCTAGAAGATATAAAGTTGGTAGAACATGGATTGAATGAAACCATCCACATCAGAAGTGGTGTCTTTAGTTGACGGTTCACAAACTTGTGTTCAAGGTTTGTGAAATGTATCTTCCTGCTACATTAGGCCTTCCTTAAGAATGAAACTGACTACCTGGAGGAAAAATAAAAAGAAAACAATCCTCTCCTGGCTTGGTTTTTGAGAAGGTTACTGAAAAATTCTTGTTCATCAAATCTGAAACAAGTCACTTCACAGCTCTTCAAAGATAGCCTTTGCAAGATTTATATCTAAAAGCTGTGTTAACTTTAAAAGAGAAATACATAATTACCAAAAATACGTACTATTGTACATTTTTACAACAGCATTGTTCTTAAAAATAATGTGTCTAATGATTACTCTCTATTGAGCCTGTACTCTGCTTTCCATAGCAAGTAAATATGAAATATCTACTTTGCACATAACAAAATAAACTGTTTAATTACTTGGCTGTTGGAGATTTGTACCAGAATGTAAATGTACATCAGTTTTTATATTTGTGAATTCATATGTGGGAGGAGTAAAGAAAATCCAAGAGTATTTAATGATTAATGTGGTTTTCTTTCCATTCTATAAAGATTTGGAAATATACTTTTATATTATTTTACTTATTTGGAATTTACAGAACACACCTAAGCAATTAGGATATAACAAAATTACACTGTCATTTTTGCAACTTTTTTGTTTTTTAAACCTTTTTATTTGTAAAAAAGATGAAAACTTATAAATAAATTCTTGATTGTAATTACTTTAAAAAAAAAAAAAAAGAATTGGAGAGACGACTCAATCTACCCCTCCTCCCCGCCCCCTTTCCATAGATGAGGAAATGGCAGCCCAGAGGGACCATGAGATTTGCCCAAAGTTGAAGAGCCACTTGACTGCAGAGTAGGTGGTAAGACATAGGCTACCCAATGCCTATTCCAGGGCTCTCTCCGTCTCCTCTGCCTTCCTTCTCTCAGGTTTTGAGAGACAATTTACAAAGTGCTTGCAGCAATTTGGAGGCAATCACACCAGCAGTAAAGGTAACCTGAGTTACCTTTATCAACAGTTATTGTCACCAACAAACTCGAACCTGGAGATTCCCCTGTAGGAGATAAAGGACTTTCCCTTTACCCTCCCTGGTTCAACAACTGGGTCTGTGAAATAAACTGACAGCAGGCAGATTAACAGCAGAAAAGTTACACAAATTTATTCATTTTTAATATAATGTGTATGCTGGGCATCTCAAGAAAAGAAGTGAATACTCTATAAAATGGTGAGAGGAGAGCTTATATCCCGTCTTAACAGGGGAAGGGGAGGGAGGATGTAGCCAACTTAGGGAAGAACAGGTGATTTTTAGGAAAGATGAGAGGCCCTTAAACACTAGATGAGAGGTATGACAGCTTGTGACAAAGTTTTCCGGGGGTCGTGCCAACTTCTAGTCTCCTCTCCTGTGATGAGAGTCCATTGTCCCTGCTGATGACACTCCTGGGGACAGGACTGATGACAATTGAGCTCCTTTAGGAGGATCTGTCCTTAGGCAGGTAAGGGGAGTTCAGAGAAAGCTGTCCCTGCATTTGCTGTTTTCCCAGTGCCTACAGCTCAAAATAATCGATGTGCTAAAGTGGCATATTTTAGGGTGGCGTGTCCTGAAGTCCTTTGCCATTAAATTTATTTAACATTTGTTGAGTACTTCAACATCACAAGACTACTTTGAAGTTTCATGTGCTTTTATCATTAGACTTGTTTCTCAGACAGTTCTCACGCCACACAGCTTATCGTCATATAGTTTACTCCGGAAGGTCGGGTTATCTGTCACCCACCTCAGCACTGGTATTTGCACCACTGCTCCTTGGGGGTCCTCTCCACGCCATCCTCCACCTCTTCGTGTCCCCATCACAGCCAAGGATCTACTTGTTTTGTTCAGAGGGTGGCCAAGTCTGGCTGGCCAGAATGTAAAAGGGGACATCCCCTAGGTGTGCAGGTGGCTATCTGTCCTTGAACTCTTTCCGTTCTGCTCACTTCAGAATCATAGTTTGAAAGGTACCTTTCATTTTCAACTTGTTCTACCCCCTTCTTTTTATAGCTAAGAGCACTGGAGCCTAGAAAGTCTGAGGGCTTGCTCAAGGTCACCTGAAGTATCAATGGCAGATCCGGGCACAGAACTCAGGTCACTGCAGTGCTGCCTTTGGAGCTTGGTTTTATCACACAGGAGAATCCAATCTATTCAGCTATTGAGGGATTTATGCAGAAACAACTTCCGTTTGTGGTTGAGATAACTGGCAGGAAAATTTTCAGTAACAGAACTTCTTGGGTAGATGAGGGGGAAAATCCCCATTGGGAACAAATTTAAAATGAAAAGCTGTGAAAATGTATGCCTCTCCGAGAAAAGGTGTTTAACCTGCTTCCTGGAGTGACTTGTGTTAGGAAACACTCAGCAAGCACATGCTGACCCAATTAACACAGGGAAGGGATCAAACTCCAGCCTAAGGAGACCTGAGAGAGAAAGAGTCGTCCTTGTAATAAATGCAAACAAATACCATCTTCATTTTTTTCCATTTTGTTTTGTATATTAAAGTAATATATGCCCATAGGATCAGTTTAAATAGGAACCTTAATCTAAACACGAGGAAACATCAGCACGTGAGCCATTCTATAAGACAACTTCTAGTCTTCAAAAAAGTCAGTGTCATGAAAAACAAAAAAGGCCTGGTGAGGCAGAGACTGTTCTATAATTTAAAAATCTAAAGAGATAAAACAACCAAATGCAAACTGTGAAATCTGATTAAATACTGGATGGAAAAAAAGATACATAAACAACATTTGGGGGACTATTGAGGAAATTTGACTGCAGATTGTATATCAATCCACATAGGGGATCATAGGAGACTACTATTAGCTTCCTTAGCTGGGTTGCTGGTATTCTGAGTATGGAGGAGAACGTCCTTGTTCTCAAGAGACACTAGCTGGGGTATTTATGAATGAAGCGTTGCATGTTTTCAACTCACTTCAGGTGGTTCACCAAAAAAAAAAAATGAGGGAGAGAGAAAGCTAACGGGGAATCGAGGTTAAGAGTAAATGGATATTCTTTGCACTATTCTTTTTTTTATATAACTTTTTTTAATTTATTTTTTCCCCCCAAAGCCCCAGTAGATAGTTGTATGTCATAGCTGCACATCCTTCTGGGTGCTGTACATGGGACAAGGCCTCAGCATAGCCGGAGAAGCAGTGCGTAGGTGCGTGCCTGGGATCCCAACCCCAGGCGCCAGCAGCAGAGCACGCGCACTTAACCGCTAAGCCACGGGGCCGGCCCTCTTTGTACTATTCTTTAACATTTATATAGATTTGAAATTTTTCAAAATAAAAGTCAGAGAAAAAAGTCTAGTGTGAAAAATCTCATTACAAAAAATGTGATCTCCTGTTTCCACCCATTTCCTGTTTCCCAGGATATCTGCTTTCAATGTATTTAGTTGCTTGTTCTGGTATTTACCTCCAAATTTAAAAATAAGTGCAGATAACGCTACTTCTTGAATCTACAATTTTAGCTCTAATAACTTTCTAGTACAGTAGGTGGTGATTTTAGCTCTTTTATGTTGAGATCCATATTCAACTTTTTCACTATTGTAACTAAATGATAGGCCCATAGACTGATTAACAAAAGAGTATACAATGATCACAGTTCCTGAATTGTAAAAACTACCTTTTTTTTATTGGACTTAATTGCTATAGTTCTTCAGTTACTTTGCTTTTTATGAGCTATTGTTAAGTGTTTTCGTAACTAAAAATAACAGCTCTGTAAAATCCCGCTCACCGCCATTTCTCCCCGGAAAATCTCTATCACTTCCACTTTCTTTCTGAGGACACCTGGTGTGGAGCTCTCTGACCACCTGTTTGGGTCTGGACTGCATGTCCCCCAGCTATGCTGCATAAATATTACCTGGGACTTTCCTTCATTGCCACTCTGGGAATTCCCATTGCATCTATACTGTGTTGAATCTCCGGATTCCTGGACCCCATGTTTTCTTTTCTTCCGTTATCTTATAGCTATCTGTATTTTGTTGAGGAGTTGAAGTCTATTCCAATTTCTGAAACTTTGTATGTGAACTTCTTTTTCTCTATAAAAATTCTTAGGATATTTTCTCTTATAATATGATGTCCTGATGTTACACCACAGTGTTCTTTGATGTTGGTCTCTTTCCATTCATTGTGCTGGAAACTCAGTGAAATTTCTCATTCAGAGACATGTTCTTCAGTTCTAGGAAAATGTATTGAGTTATTCATTCAATAATTTCCTTCTTTTCATTTTCTCTAATCTATCTTTTAGGGACTCCTGGTAGCCAGATATTGAGTTTCCACATTGAGCTTCTAATTTTGTTATTTTTTTTTTCCTGCGGAAGGTATTCTTTTTGTTCTACTTTCAGAGAGATATCTTACACTTAATCTTTTAGCTCTCTTACTATTTTTTTCTTTTTTGCTACCATATGTATTTATATCTATGATATTTTTAGTTTTCAAGGATTCATTCTTTTTCTTCAATCTGTTCCATTTTAATCCTATTCTTGTTTCAAGGATATAATATTTCTCTTATTTTTCTGATGATATATTTTTTATTTTTGGTTGAGGTTTAATTTGCATATAGTAAAGTAGACAAACCTTAAGGGAACAGCTCCATGAATTTATATAGAAATATGTATCTTATATATATTATATATTATATCTACATATAATATTATATTTATATATGATATATGTTCATAATGAATTTTAAAATTCATATATTTCTGTGAAATAAATTATTTTATTATATATAATAAATTATATATAGTACAGTAAAATAAATTATATATCTATCATATATAACATACATACATTTATCAGTTAAATATATCCATATCACCACCACCTGGATCAAAATATAAAACATTCCAACATACCATCAGGCTGCCTTGAGCCCTCCTCCGAGTCAATTTTCCCCACAGATATAACCACTATTATCACCTCCATCATAAAGTTCCATTTTTCTCCTCTATTAACTTTAAAAAAAAATTTTTTTATTGAGGTCACATTGGTTATAACATTATATAAATTTCAGGTGTACATCATTATATTTCAGCTACTGTATAGACTGCATCAAGTTCACTCTATTAATT